AAAGTGGGCTGGTGGATAAGAAAGGCCATAGAGTACAGATAGGGAGAAGAAAAACTTCTGTCTCCATCTTGGCAAGCCTGCAGAATCTATCATGAGCAAGAGGTGGAGGCAGCTTACAGAGAGTCCCTGAAATAGAGATGGCAGGGTTAAATAAACTGGGGTGGAGAAAGATAAGTGAAGGATGAAAGGATCCTCTACTACATGCAATATCCTATGGAACCTAGAAATGCAACACTATGCCATCCAAGGTCGTGACTACATGAAGTACTTGCATCCTGACCTTAGAGGTCACCTGACTCAATACTGCTTTTATTTTGCAGATTGGTACAGTTAAGGTTGTTCAACTGTACACTAAGCTATGAAAACTGCAAGCACAAAGCAAAAAATTCCATTTTGCCAACAACAAAACGAGTGTTGGCAACACAACAAACCCTAAGTGTTTCCTGGCGATTTGCCTGAATTGATCTTGAAGTTTTTTGTATTGTAAACTAATAAAACAGTCTGAACAAACATGTAATTTCAGAACTGTTTTTTAGAAAATACAAAGCCATAGAAGTTTCATTTCAGCTCAAACTCAGTAGGATTTTTTAAGCATTCAGTAAGTTTCCACATTTAGTTATTTTGGGTCATTCCTCTAACGTTCCCCTTCCAACAATTTTAGTCAACAGAAATCTCTAGAATTATTCTGTTCTCAGAAAGGACATACTTGCACTTACATGCATGAATGCAGTCTCTCCTTTTAGGGAAGTGAAGTGAGAGAAAAAGGGCTGGTTGGGGCTGAACTCTGCATCAATGTTCAGGCTTCAGCACAAAAAAATTGAATGTTTTGATCCTGCACTTACCTGTAGCAATGTTTGGAGGTAGACATTGATTGCCAAAACAGCAACTCATTGGGCTTGGCCTAAGATGCAGGCTAACACACTTAGGCTATGTCTACATTGGCAAGATTTTGCGCAAATACTCTTTAATGCAAGAGTTTTTGCGTTAAGAGTATTTGCGCAAGAGAGTGTCTACACGGGCATGTGCCTTCGTGCAAGAGATATGCTTTTGCGCAAGAGCATCCATGCCAGCATAGATGCTCTTTTGCACAAGAAAGCTCTGATGGACATTTTAGCCATCAGGCTTTCTTGCGCAAGAAATTAATGTTGCCTGTTAGCCAAACGGGCTCATTTCCCCCTGGAGCTAGTCAAGCTAAACGGGCTCATTTCCCCCTGGAGCTACTCCCCTCGACTTATGCCAGAGGGAGAGGCACACCAAATTAAGCATACAGCACATTTTTATACCACGAAGTAAATGGCTTAGTTTTGCACTACAAGCAGTCTGATTACACAACCAGGATACATCTGCCTAGCTTCCTCTTATTGCACACTTTGAGCACATGCAGCAAGCAGCAATGTGACTCGACCTTTTAACCTAATAATCCTTGACAGTATTTTATGGCTTCCCGCCAAGTAGAAATGTGCAAGCCAAACTATATATTTTTATCTTGCGAAAGCGGCTGCAGGGGAAATAGGGGGGGCAGGATTATCTGTGAGCTAGGGGTCCCAAGGAAGTTCAGTCTCTCCATACCTCCCCGGCCTTTTTCCCTTTGAGGCCCCCTATTCTTCTAACACTGTCTACACTGGCATCTTGCGCAAGAACAGTTGTACAAGAGGGATTATTCCTGAGCGGGAGCATCATAGTTCTTGCACAAGCAGCACTGATTTCACACATTAGAACGTCAGTGTTCTTGTGCAAGAACTCCCCGTGAGTGTAAACAGGCATGTTTTTGTGCAAAAGCAGCCGCTTTGGTGCAAGATCGCGCCAATGCAGACACAGCCTTAAGATGTATTAATTTGCCACAGCCTATGTACTAGTATATTTAAGATTTATTAATTTGCCACAGCCTATGTACTAGTATAGCCAGCTAACCTGGCTTCAATGCCACTTTAATTGAATTTAACCTAATTAAAAAAACCATGCCCTTTTGTCCATCAAGAAAAAGGCAGTTCTCACTAAGTTAAGAGCCTGCATCTTAAGTGGAAAGCCTTCTTAAGTATGTCACACCCATTGCTCATTTTACTCAAAGTCCAAGAATTGACAAGAGTTGGACCACCATATCACCAAATGCTTGTTTATCACAGGTCACTTAAACATAACCCAGCCACCATACTAAGCACAAACAGCCAGTATTAGACTGACCTGTTAGAGGCAGAGTCATTGTAGCTCAACTGATGTATTAGCACATAATCAGAGGGCTCTTTTCTCAAATTTCTCCCATTCAGCCAACATTAGTCTGTTCATGTTAATTAGGAGGAATGGAGCATAGCTGAATAAAGGAATTTTAAAAATATACGTTTTCTTGTTGAAAACAAAAGCAACATTTTTAAAAGGGAGAACATTTAAAAGGTGTCTTCTGCAAAAAGTATTGACATACTAAAAAGTTACATGGAACATTCAATGTGCCAAGTTCATGTGGCACATTTTTATATTAAATTCCATTTAAAGAAGGATTTTAACATACTTTAAGGCAATATTTCCAATAACAGGAGTTATGGTCCTAAATCCCAATTTAGTTTTCAAGTGTGCTAAGAAGCCAGCAATTCCCACTGAATTCAACTGGAAGCAAATCCTCATTTTTATCCCCAAAGGTAAAATACTTCTATGACTATGATCTCCTGAGCTTATCTGCACACAAAGTTGCATCATTTCCTCTAAGTTTTGCAACCAATTTAAACCCATGTTTGTGTGTCTACAGGCACACAAACTCACATCAATTTATAAGTTCTTTATAGCAATGTAGCTTAATACAAGTCAGCTGGAAATTGATCAGTGCAACTATTCTATGTAGACCAGCGCTCATAAAGGGTTGAAGATCTGTAAAACATTGAGGTTCTTGGATGGAAGATGCAATAAAAATGTAAAGTGGTGATTGATGCTCAAAAAACAATTAGCTGATTAGCAATTTGCTCTTTCCTGTATTTACACACACTCCATAATTTGCACAAAATCCTATTATAGAAGCATTATGCAATACTGAGGTCACAATAAAAGTACATGTTCTGATTCTTCCGTTTTAAGTAGTGTAAAAACAGGACAGGAAACAGATGAGAGAGAAATTGCTTAAGTCTCTACTCAGGAACAAGAAAGAATGACAAGACCATTTATGATTTTAGTTCCAATGTTCCACAATCTCAACTGGTTATACACTAGAATAACCAAATGTTTCTACATATTACTATAACACCACTTCAGGATTGGTTTCCTCACAATGTATAGGATTGTTAAAAATTAAATGTTTGCATTCAAGTATGGGGCTGCAGGAATTGGTTGTGCTCTCATAGCCTTGTCTACATAGTAGAAGCTCCAGTATGTGGCCAATCCTGTACAATTTACTTTCAGCACATCTACATTAGGGTTCTCACCATTGTTAGCTTTAGCTCTAGCAGAATTCTCCTGTAGTTGGGATAACTGTCAATATGAAATATATAGCAAGAGATTCATTTAGCCCACACACACACACTCTCTCTCTCTCTAGGAATACAGCATACTCTGATTAGAAGCCTGCAGAGAGCAGTAAACTTCAAATTATGTGTAGTGGATAGAAATCCAAGAATTAGAAGTAGAGCGTCTCTAACAACATTCAAGCTCAATTAAATATATACTTAAGTATGAATCTTTATATTTAAACTTTATAATAAAATATACACTTCTACAAACGTTTTATGTACAATTGAATCACACGTAGGGTATTAGATAACACACTCATATCTTCCACCTTGGTTATAATGTTTGAAGAGGATTAAATTGTTATCCATTTTGTTCTGTAAAACTGGATGAACAGAGCCTTGTGGTAGGAAGTGTTGGGAAAAAGATAGATCATGTGCCCTAAGTGGATACCATGGGTTTGGGGAGCCACAGATTTGAAAGGAAGAGTTGGTTTGCAAAGCAGAATTAGAGGTAAAAGGCAGAAGTCTTTGCTGTGGACTAAGGTAGTGGGAATAATCCAGTAACATATTCGGCAGGGTCCCTTGTTTACAGCCATAGAAGGGATTTGAAGACATGAGGGTATGATGGTGGTCTTGCATTTGCCTCTTAAATTTCATCCTGCGATTCTGGAACCAGGTTTTCACCTAGGAAAAAAAAAGTAGTGTTACAGAAATCAGGTTCTAACAATCATTTATAAACTATCATGTATTCAGAGCAACTGAACTCGCTTATTATCCAGGATTGTCTTTTGTTAAAAAGATTTAAATGAAAGCATTGATCAGATCAGCGGGACAGATTTCCAAACTGTGTAATAATTATTTACTATGTGCCAGAGAATTCATGCAAAGACCCTCTCAAAGACTTCATCCCGCTTCCAGTTAAGTCAATGTAAAGTCGCTGACCAAGGGAAGAACATATTAGAGACCCAAATCTGAGAGCAGCTGTTGACTGATTCTAGTGAAGGCGTTGGTAGGTGAAATGCTTGCAGTCGGTGCTTATTTATTTACGAATTTTCAAAGCTATCTGCCTAAGTGAATATCAAATAAAACATTTATTAGCACTAGCCCAGTTGTATTTTTAAGTAAAACGTTTTAAGTGTTTTAAAGAGACTCTTGGGGCGCGTGAAAGGGTGGGTTTAGGTTTCTAACGAACCCCGCAGCTCCTTTAAAGGACAACATGCAGTTCAGTCTTTAACGCCAACCGCGTTTCACCAAGGCAGGAGTTTAAGGTCCTACGTGTAAAATAACCGGGTCTGTGAACAAGGACGCGAAATCCTAGAAACCCAGTTCCTAGCAGCGAGGCACCCTAGCCGGTTACCGTCCCGCTCAGCCCTCTTGCGGCTTTACACAAGGAGAGAGCCTGGCCATGGCCAGATCAGTGCGCTTTGCTAAAGCGAGGTAGGTGACCTCTCGAGGGGCCAGACTGAAGCCAACGGGCAGCTGACGGGACTCAGAGGGTCCAAGAGCCTCGCGCCCTAAGCTGCCCAGCCCGGCGCTAGTGGATCTAACCGGCTGGCTCCGCGCCACGGGGCTGGGCCAGGCACTCACCTGAATCTCGGACAGGTGCAGAGCGGTCGCCAGCTTCCTCCTCTCCGCCGCCCCCAAATACCTCTGCCGCTGGAAGGTCCGCTCCAGCCTGCCTACCTGCTCCGGCGTGAAGGCGGTGCGCGCCCTGCGCGCCAGGGGCTCGGCCTCTCCGGACGGCGAGGGGGCCCGGGAGGCGCCGCTTTCGCTCTCGTAGCCGGAGGACTCGTCCGCGCTCAGCCAGCCGCCCTCGGGAGCTGAAAGGGGGGGCAGCGGGTTAGAGATCCGCGCCCAACAGAGCCACCCCCCGGGCCAGCGCGGCCACAGCCCCCTCCCAGCCCGCTTCCGACAGGACAGGGGTCCCGGCTCCTCCTCCAGCGCCAGCCCCGGGCGCCTCTGACCTGCTCGGGCGCTGGGCAGCTCCTGGACCGCGGTCTCGCGCAGCGGCTCTCGGCACTGGCCGCTGGCTGGTAGCTGCCCCCCGGCCGATGCTCCCCCTCTGGGCTTGGCTCGGGCCAGGCGGAGACTCCGGCTGAAGGAGGTGGGAGCCCGTGGAGGGGGCACGCAGCAGATGTGAGGCCTGCGCATCGGCCTTGGCTTTTCGCTACCGGGCTGGGCCGGGAAGGGCATGGAGAAGGGGGCCTCTCCCATAGCGAGTGGCGGCCGCCCGCAGCTCCCTCCGCCTGGCTGGCGCTACTAGGCTGGAGGGAAGGGCAGGGGGGTAGGGGGGGGGCTCGCCTCTTATTTACAGGGGGCCGCCCTCGCGGGCTCGTTTGCAAGTGTGAATCCACATCAAAGTAGGAAGGGGGGAAGAGATAGCAGCTGTCAGGGAGGAGCAAAGTTCACACGTCTGGCAAATGTCTGCAGCTCCGGCTCCAGAGAGTCTGCAAGGCTGCGTCTGCCCCCTTGAAATGCAAACCTGCTCCGGACCCTCCTTTCCTCCCCTGCGGCGGGGGGAATTCCAGCCGCCGCCCCCGAACCACGGGCCAGCAAAGGGGCTTTTAAAGGCTGTTCCGCTCAGAGATCGGTGGCCTACGAGCCTGTCGCTCCCAAACGCCGTCGGCCCAGCCCCAATACTTTCCACCGCTCGGATCGCCAAGCACTAGCAAGCCAGTCTCATTACTGCTGTAAGCGGGGTGTTCCTCAGGGCAGGGGATGAATGGAGCAGGCCGGCTTTTAGCAGCGTGATCGTGCCAAATTCCGGCGCTGAAAATATTTATCACCCATTGACACAATCCAGGAGTCGCTCCCAAACGCCGTCGGCCCAGCCCCAATACTTTCCACCGCTCGGATCGCCAAGCACTAGCAAGCCAGTCTCATTACTGCTGTAAGCGGGGTGTTCCTCAGGGCAGGGGATGAATGGAGCAGGCCGGCTTTTAGCAGCGTGATCGTGCCAAATTCCGGCGCTGAAAATATTTATCACCCATTGACACAATCCAGGACTCTGCTATGACCGCGATTTTACACCAACCCCGCCTTTCACAATGCAGATCTCAAGTAACCCTGGGAAATCTCTTCAGGCTCACAGTATTAGGCCACCTGGGCGAGGTAATATCTTTTATTGGACCAATTTCTCTAGCGGCACAATAAACGGTATTACCTCACCCATCTTGTCCTGTACGAAATCCAGAGCAAACAGGCTACAACTCTGCCAACCGTTTATTTGAGGGGCAGCCTCGCTGTCCCGTAACAACAAGTTTCTGCGAGGTAAATGAAAGTCATGTTCTGTTTCCCAACGGAATCCATTCTAGTGTTAACCAACGAGAGAAAGGAATCCAAGTTCATTGTAAAGGTCGTAGGGAGACGTCAGAAGTCTGGGTTGCTTTGATTTCTCCGCCTCTAGCTGTATTGTTGCTGTGTTTCGGGTTTAACTAGCACAAATTCAACCCTGCGCTCCTCTCAGCTTGAATTTGGCGCCAGTTGTCTAGCCAGAAATGTAGCCAATCTTTCACTAACTGTAAATTTAGCGATCAAAGCAATTCAAGACCAGAAAGCTCACGCCTCATCAACTTCAAACTACCCCAATTTACACCTGATTTACAAAGAATAGCTTCGCCTTTGTGATGCAAGGGGCTGATAATGCTAAGAACCGCCCAGAAATTTAAAAAAAAAAAAAAAGAAAAAAGAGCGAGAGCGGTTTAATCACTGTGAGTATAATAAAAGCTACTAGAAAACCTAGCGCTGAGTCTGCAGGTATTTCTGCGTTTAGAGTGCTGTGTTTTTCCACTGGCTAACACAAATTAATCTGCTAAGGAAAACTCGGGAACACTATATATTCAGATTGTTAGTAATTGGGAACGCAAATGGAAAACATTCCCTCTCTAACCCTGAGTCCTGATGCCAGAACTGAAGGGTTTGATTCAATAAACTCTGATCTAACGAGCAGCGTGATTATTGCTTCTTCCTAGAGCTAGATTATTGGCCTTCCTTTCTAGAAGAAAAAACACTCGTGCCCTTTCTTTCCCCAAAGGCACGTTTCACTGAAAATGCAATGGTATGTGAAGGAGCCTGGTTTTCTTGTTTCCAATTCCACCCTCATCAGCTCTACTGATGTTTTAACACAGGCAGCGGCAGTATACTTGTGCTGATCAGAAGTATAAATGCACGGGCCATTAAAGCGCAACACTTTACAGTAAAAGTGTAAGAATTTATCTTATTCCTACCAAAGGTGGGAGATTCGACCAAAGCTGCAACCTGCCCCGTTAAGCCCCAAGTAGAGGAGCACCAGGGGCTTCAGAGCATATTTTATTGATGTTGTTGAGGCCCAGCACTCGCATTTCCCGCTGAAGTTCAGGGAGAGCAGCATAAGCTGATTGTATGGACTGAATTTCTCCAGCGGTGCAGCTGATTAGCAGGTTGTATGGACTGAATTTCTCCAGCGGTGGGTGGCTTTTTAACTTGCAGGCTCTGTCCACTGTATGTGTGTAAATAAAGCAGTAGCAGACTTTCAGGTGCTGTTTTTCTCCCCCACCTTGCTCTCTGTAACTCATTCCTTTACCAGACCGTAACTTGCTTTGTTCTATTTTCCAGCCCAGATAAAAGGCTGGAAAGCTCCCTGTGCCCCCCTTGCTTGCTGGATTACAATTAAACTATTGGGAGTGGCAGACATCCTGTCCTGCCCACTTCAGGCCCACTAGGCGTGGCGATAGGAAGACTGGTTAGCTGCAGCCGAGATTGAATCACGCCAGGCGCTCGGATCCAGCAGTTAGTTCTCATCCATGGCTCCCAGCCTTGGGGTGGCATTCAGGCCCGAACCCGTGAGCTAGCTCTCAGCCAAGCCAGCCTCTGCTGCTTCAGCTTACTCGGGATGTCCCGTAGAAATGGCTGGCTCGCTAAGCCACAGCCCACCGGGATGCCAGAGCTCGGCCCTGATCTGCTGGTCTCGGGAGGTTTCTGTTTACACGGCGCTGCTAGTCCCAGCTGGGCCCTTGGAACGGTCACCCCACTTCGCGCGCCGCCCTCTCCGAGGGGAACAGGCGCCGCCAGGCAGCGCTTTCCGCACCGTTTCCTTGCACCTGCCTGCGCGCAGGGTTTCCGTTACAGCAGCTGCTGTTACCTCTGCTGGGAACCTCTGAACCTGGCTCCGTCAGCCCCACTGCGGCTTGCGTGCTAGCAGCGTTAGGAAACAGCCGGGCCCCTCTCCCACAAGCACTCCGAAGCTCCTGCACGGCCCCGAGCCAAGCCCTCTCGAGGGAGCAACCGCTGTTCAAGCTTGCAAGGCTGGAGGGGGGCGTGTCTGAAGCGTCCCTGCTCTCCCAGGCTGATCGGCTCGTTTTCTCCCTGGTGCTTTAATTCACTTTAACGCTGCAGAGAACCCACGACCATGGCTCTTGCGCACAGAGGGATCGGGGCGAGGGAAACGGTGTTTTCAATAAATACCAGCAAGGCAAGCGATTCAGATCTGAAGACTGTCTCCCCTCCAAACATTCCTCTCCTCCTCCCCTCCTTCCCTCCCAGCAGCATAGAATAAAAAGCAGGCTCCACTCCCTGCATTTCAATCGCCTTCTGGACTATTACACACCCGCTGCAATTCCCAGAGGGCTCTCCTTCCAAAATGTGGTGAATTTCCTTACTCTGGTCCTCCACCCCGGTAACTGCCTCTGGAACTTCCACTCCAATTCCTCTAATGAAGTGGGTTTTACCCACCAAAGCTTATGCCCTGGTAAATCTGTGCCTCTCTAACTCTAAGGTGCCACAGGACACCTTGTTTTTGCAGATCCAGACTCCCATGGCTTCCCCTCTGAGACTTTTAGCCCATGTTATGTTAGTGTGTGCAAAAGCCTGTTAGTGAAGTTGCCACATGGTCACTGTGCAGTTGTTGCCAGGCAGTCTAGAAGCATTCTAGACCCAAGACTGGCCATCCAATTGGCATGACATTTAATAAATCCGGTTGTAGACTTTGGCAGGCAGATTGTTATTCACTGTGCAGTAATATGCAAGTACTGCTGGGTGATGGCAGGCGGAGGTGCTTAGTGGAGTTTGCAATCTGCCACAAAGGCAGCTGGAAGGCAGAGAAAGGATTAAAAGATTTAACAGTGGAGCTGAGGTGATGTTTTGGAACATGTCTGGATAGTTCAATATTTTAATTTTGAGTTCCGCAGCTGCTTGTAGACTTGCCAAGCCATCTATCTGGCAGCCTCCTCTGCCCAGGGGGTTCAAGAGCTTCTGCCTGGTGTTTGGGGATGGGTGGCCTTCAGACTTTGCTGTAAGCTGTGCACTGGTGCAGCTACTCAGGAGAGATTCCAATAACACCCAGCGGATTAGCAGAACACCCACTGCTAGGTTTTTTGTTTGTAGTGAAGGTGCCCATTCACACATGCCTTGGTGCACATAAAAAAAATCTATTCCACACATGGGTAGCAAAAATCCACACATGGATGGAAAAGATTAGAGGGTACATTGGTGGCTGCCTAGTTCCCTCCCAGCTGTGTTCTGGGCCATCCGGTGTGGTTCCGCTGTTCTCACTGGATGTCTGCATTTCTGCCTTTAGTCCTTCCCCACTAGAAAAGTGTTCTGGGCCATCCGGTGTGGTTCTGGTGTTCTCGCTGGATGTCTGCATTTCTGCCTTTAGTCCTTCCCCACTAGAAAATTGGAGTGATCTAAAGGCCAGAGAGGTAATCAGTTGTGGAGGTTCCTTTTCTTTCATGGGAGGACAGCGGTGAACAATGAGCTGGTCCTGTCTATGTTCTGGCACCAGTTCAACACCCTGAGCCCAGCACCCAGGAACATGGCCAGCCTCTAGAAGAGGGGTGGGGAACCTCAGGCCTAGGGGCTGGATTCAGCCCCCAGTTTGCCTGGTTCCTCCTCCCATCTCCACCCTTCCCGTCACACAGCCCCCCCTGCATTGTGGAATCCGTGCTCACCCTCCACCCACCCTCTCCCCCCTACTGCCTCACCACGGTGCTGAAGCACACAAAATCTACTAGGCTGGGCTCCCTAGTCTCTGGTGTGCAAGAGGAACGTAGGGAGTGTTTTTGTCTTCCTCAGTCTGGTGCCACATCAGAGAGGGGTTTTTGGGTGTAGCCCTCGACAGATTTTCCTGTGGGTCAGTGGCCCAAAAAATGGTTCTCCACCCTGGCTCTAGATGATCCTTGACTTTTCTGATCAAGGCCACATCACAGAGGTCCTGAGACTCCCCCAGAGCAGGTCAGCTGGGACTTGGTCTGCATCCACAAAAAGATCCATCCTTCCACCTTCAGCTCTTCATCATCTACAGTGCAGGGAGTCCTGCATAGGAGTGTGTTGGTGCATGCTTTCTTCTACTTCCTCTAAGGGTTCCAATACAGCCACCAGCACTTTTCTTTCCAGTGAGGCATCATTGGGCTACCATTAATCGACTAGAGTCTCCTCAGGTATCTAAAGCTACTTTCAGAGACCAAGTCCACAGTGGCAGTCAAGAGAGAAGATCTCCTCATGATGATCCTGTCCTGCCAGGCTCACTGAGCATATATACCATGGTGTGCAGT